TTATGCTAACTGCTGGTTCCCGAAAAAAAAACTTTTGAGAAGTACAAAGATATCTAACAAAATAAAAGTTCCCATGTACTTCAATTAATTGTTTGCTCTGTGAGGCTGTCTCTTTATAACATACCCTTTGATGCCTACTGGTTTTAAAGGGTAGGAATATGTGTGTATCTGTGTGTGTGTATCTGTCTGCCATCTATCTGTGTACGAGCTGAGGGTGTCTGTGACAGTGAGGTTGTGAAAGGAGTCTAATGTAACATGGATAACCTTTCTCTTCAGTGGTGCAGAGAAGTGTTTTAGTAAACAACCACATTTTGGATAAATCACAGGAGATGTGTCTGTGATAGTGAAAATATTCTCCTTGGTGTTCGTTTGATTGAACCAAGTCACGGCAAAGCACTTCTAGCACGGAGCCTGTCGATAGTGAGTGCTCATTAGAGATGGTAGTTATACACTGTGTATAACAATATCCTTTCACTCATTTCGTATTTATTGTTAGCCTGCTTTGTGCCAGCCTCTGGTCAGGGTACTGGAGGCACTGTAATGAGTGAAAAGGTAAAAAGGAATCTCCTCATGGAGCCAGTGCACGGAGCGGGGGACATTCCCTGAAGTGAGGAGTCAGTAGAAGGTGGTGGACATTAGGGGAGCGCGGGTGCTGTGAAGAAGGCTGTGCAGGGGGTGCCGGAGGTGCTGATGGGAAGGGAGAGTTTGCACTTTTAACTCAGATGGCCAAGCAAGGCAGGATATATAGAGGGCAAGCAGGAAGGGTTTAGCCCAACTTTATTACAATTATGTAGATGACTTTCAGAAAGTTATTTAACTTTTGAGCCATAATTCTCACACAGTGAAAGGAGAGATGGTAATCAAAGTACTGTGCAGGGTTAAACAAAAAAATGTATCCAGCACACGGCACTATGCTTGACATCCCACCAGGAAGAAGGTAAGAGTTAGGACTCCGGCGTGGGGGGGGGGCAGCAGTAGTTAGCATAATGGCTATATCGCTGGACTTAAAACTCACGCCAGGTGTGTGTGCGTGCGTGCCCAAGATCCCGAGAGGAGAATGGAGAAGGGATTGCAGCGTGACCATACCCCCTGGGGGATGATTTCTTGCTTTCTGTCTCTCTGTCTCTCTCTGTCTGGCGAGCACACGTGCCCTATAGCAAAAACCTCTCCAAAAAAAGGAGTTAGGATTCAGGGAGGAGGGTGCTACGTCCTGGCAATCACAGGCTAGGGGACTGGGCATCACCTGAGGAGTGGAAGCTTTGTTTGAGAGGGAAAGGTGCAGCAAAGAACGGTGGTTTGTGCGGATGGAGGGGGAAGAAGGAGGGATGAATGTGTGTGTGTGGAGGGGGTAGGGAGTGAGGAAAGGAAGCATCTAGATTTTTTCCCCTTCCTTCCTAAAAAGAACTTATTTCTTTTGTTCCACATGTCTGCCACCAATTGATTCTATAGTTCTATTTTTGTGCCTACTTGGAAGTTTTATAATCTGGTTTTAGGGAAATAAAATGTGTTGTATGTATTTGTATGTACATACAAACTTAAGTTAAAAGTCATTGTTAAATAGATACTCTTTACAATGAAGAAATGATACATTTAAGTGCTGGAAGCATCTGGGAGGAGGATTTGACTAAAAGCTTAGATGTTCAGGGAAAGTGTTTTGCAAGAGTGGATTCGATCTGACTTCTGAAAGAAGGGTTGGGTTTTTGGTCTGTTTTTGAAGGGCACTGATAGTGCCATTGCACTGTGATCCTGACAGAGCTCTGGATAGAGCACATTTGAATGGTCAACTGAGTTTGCAAAAGCATCGTACCCTGTCGCCCATGTGGCTGGCGCACATACCACTATGTGGCCGGCTCACATACCACTATGTGGCCATCCTGAAGTCCCTGTCAAGCCTGTGGAAAAGGATCTGCTGAACTGTGTAGCCCCGCAGGAGTAGGCCCCATGCTTGACTGGCAGGACAAACCCAGAAAGCCTATAGGACTTAGGTGCTGCTGGGCCCTGCAGCAAGCTAAATTTCCCTCTCTCAGTTACACTTTGGGGAATATGGTTGTCTTTACATACTTATTTGCAAAGCATCAGGAGATCATTAAGCATATAAATTAACTATAAGTGCTATTATAATAGCTAGAGCTCTTTAAGTTTAGGGGGGGAAATAAGCCCAAATGGATAAATAATGAGAGTTACACAATCTGGAATTTTAGTTTTCACCTTATACCTTTCTTCTCTCTGTCACTTATTTTGTTTCTATGAAATGCTTTATAGAGTACTTGTATGTAATAAAAGAATTGCCTAAAAGTTGAAAATGGAAGCCTTTTCAAGATAACTCATATTTTAACAAAGGTGTGTTCTTTCCCTCCCAAGGTATATTACCCAAATTTGGGATGGATGTGCATCGATGCCACTGATCCAGAGAAGGGAAACTGGCTGCGGTATGTGAACTGGGCTTGCTCAGGAGAAGAGCAAAATTTATTTCCTCTGGAAATCAACAGGGCCATTTACTACAAAACTTTAAAGGTAATACTGTTTGAATTGATGTACTGTTAGTTATTCTGCATGCTGCCCATAGTGTAACTGACAGTACAACTTCACGGACCTTGAAGGGACTCTGTTTGGAGTAGATCATCCACATACTTGTGGTTCTGTTTTAAATACGTGGTTGCCAGGGCTTTGTGTGTGACAGGGAGCTACAGCGAAGATCCTGTTAAGTAATGACATAGTGCGTTTTATAGATGTCGAGGAGGTGAGCGTGTGGCAGCTGCTTCCCTCCTAGGATATAGATGCATTAAGAGCTGTCTGACTGTCAGATTTTCCCAACTGTAGGGAATTATCAAGAGCTGCGGTGGTTCTGTGTTAACTGAAAACACATTGTTAGTCTTCAGCATAAATGTAGCCTTGCATTAGCTTTTTCTTCCCCTTGGCTTTATTTAGGACAGAATTTAAAAGGAACGTGTTTCTTTTGTTCCATTTTTATTTGGGGACTGTAATCACTGAGTGAAGAGGAGAGGAAAGCTGTGTTTTAGGGTTGGTGGTGAGGTGATGTCGTCTACCCAGGGACGCTAACATTAGGAAATAGTGTTGCTGCATCTCTGTGACAAGTCAAGGCCAAGTCTGCCGCTTATTTTCACAGGTCAAGGTCTCTTGGAGACAAATCTGCACATCATGCTTGGAAATGTTCTGAGGCAGAATCTTGAACCTGGAATGATAGACGGCTGCTGCTTTTTGGAAGTGATATGTTTGCTAGTACTAAAAGGCAAAGTCCTCTTTATTCATCAGTTTCATTGAACTTGTCACAGGTTGGGGGACAATCCATGAAAAATCTGATCTCCAAGGAGTTGAAAATTCCTGATGAGCAACTATTTAAGGGAGTGAGCAGTTTTGCAGTGTGCTGAGTTTTGTTAGTATGGAAGCACCAAAACTTCTGGAAGTTTAGTTAACATTTAGCTGTTTTGCTTTCCTGACATTGTTACTTAATTAGATTGCCCTTTATAGCATATGTACCATACCAATGTTCTTGCTTCAAGTCCATGTAGGAAATAATTTTTTTGTGGTACTTTCTCACTTAGGATTTCTGAAACCTTGCTTCCCATTTTCCTTTATTGAATTATAGTAGCGTGCATTTCTAGGAAGTATTACTCTACAATTTTGTGACAGTGGACTATGAAGCTGGATTCAAAATTTGATTCAAGGGTTCATTCTGTTTCTCAAATTTATTTATAATGAGAAATTGATCTGGTTGAATTAGCGAGGTAGTATCCTGGTAGAGAGGAAATTCTAGCTAGAGAATGATTAGGAATGAGGTTCTAAAGAAGTGCAGGCCCAGGGACCAGCAGTTGATGTAATGACTATGTCGCTGAATTCCCATGTAGTCAACTGCGGTTCGAGTCCTGAACCTGGTAGCTTGAACTCATGCTAGGCATGTGTGCGTGCCCAAGATCCTGAGAGAAGAATAGAGGAGAAAGGATTGAGGCGTGGCCATTCCCCTCAACCCCCAACCGGGGGGTGATTTCTTGCTTTCTGTCTCTCTGTCTCTTTCTGGAGAGTGCACACACCCTATAGCAAAAAAAGAAAGAAAGAAAGAAAGAAAGAAAGAAAGAAAGAAAGAAAGAAAGAAAGAAAGAAAGAAAGAAAGAAAGAAAGAAAGAAAGAAATGCAGACCCAGGAACCCTGCAGTTCGTTCCTTAGACTTCAAGTTAAAACACGTTCATCTGGTAGCAGACCTGCAGGGACACTGAGAAGCAGTAAGAGCAGTGGTTGGGAGAGTGGCCCTGAAGTAACTGCCTATTATGTCCTGACTTGCTGTCGCTGTGACTTTACCAGCTGTGTAATGTGGGGCACGTCCCTGCCCCATGCCTCAGCTTCCTCACTGTAAGATGCAGGTAATTATAGTACTGAACTCCCAGGCTGGTTGTGATGATTGCATGGGTGAGTGCAGATAAAGCTCTAGCTACCTAGTAAGTGCTGGTCGTGGTTTTTGGCAAGACACTACAGCATTGAGTCAGCAGTATGGGCTCTGGAGCAGCCTGCTGTGTGAACAGATCTTGGCTTTTAGATATGTGACCATGGGAAGTTACTTAGGTTCTTGTGTCTTAGTTTTCTCATCTGTAAAAGAGGAGACAGTCATAAAACTAATTTGTGCAGCTATGAAGATGAAGTAAGTCAGTATGTATAAGGGTCTATGAATAATCCTAGCCCATCATAAATACCCTAAATGTTAACTGGCTATATGGTGTCTATGATTTTTACCTCTCTCTGTTTGAAATAACATAGCTGTGATTCAGACCATTGATGTGTGCTTAAGTATGCACGAGTCTGTTCAGGTTTCATACTAGTGATTATCTAACTATATTCTTCCAGATTAAGCATCCTGTGGGTTAGATTTTGTAAATAAAGGGCATGTAATGTTCCCTGGGTTTTGTATTGCTTTCTCAGCTTATTATTCCAGCCAGATAATTGGGCGTCTCAACACTGTCTTTGTTTATAATATGATTTTAAATGATTTTAAATTCCTGAAAGTTTACCATTAAGCCTGCTGCCATTCATTCATCTATTCATTTGCTCAACAAACATTGATTGAGTGTCTACATGTACCAAGGACTCTGCTATAGTAGTGAACAGGACAGACAAGGTCTCTGGTCTTATGGGCTTGCATTTTGTGGGAAAGGAGGCAGATAATAAAGTAAACAAGTAAACAATAACTTTAGGTAGTGATAGGTTCTTTGAAGATGGTAAAATGTAGTAGAGAGTGACTGGGTGGGGTGGGCTGCTTTGGCTCTCAATCAGGAGAGGCCTTTCTGAGACAAGATTTGAACTTCACCCATGGGATGAAAAGGAGCCGTCCATATAAAGATTTGGAAGGATTTAGAAAAAGCAATACAGAAAGAGGAACTGCTAGAACCAAAGTTTCCATAGATTTTTTCCCCCTTAAAAATAAGAACAAAGACCAGTATGGTTAGAAGGAGGAGAGGAATAAGACTCGAAGTTGATAAGGTTGTCAGGGGCTAGACCAAGTGGAGCCTAGTGGCCTACAGGGACAAGAATGAGATTTTTTTGGTTTTGTTTTTAAATTTTTGACAGAAGGCATGTGTATACTCCAGAGACAGAGGGAGAGGAAGAGGAAGAAATTACCCTTTACAGGGAATGGTCATGCTGTAGTCCCTTCTTCATTTCAACATCCTGTCAAGATTTTGGGCACATACAAATGTACCTGGTATGTTTCTCAAGCCATCAGGTCTGGGACTCGAACCACAGGGTTGGCCATGTGGGATCTAGCAGCCTTAACCAGTAGACCATGGAACCGGCTGGAGAAGAATGAGTTTTAGTCTTAAGTTCACTTCATCCATTTGAGATTTGAGGCTGTGATCTGTGACTTTTAAAAGATCGTACTAGGGAGTGGATTAAGGTTGGTAAGGGTGGGCATACTCTGCATTCTAATGACTCTGGACTATTTCTTTCATTTTGACATAATCAGTAATATTAGAACTTTTGCTTCTTCCTTTCTGGTCTGGTAAAATTTCAAGCTTATATATGCTGATATTTAGAGAAAAGACTATTTAGTTCTATAAAGCCTGTCTGAATCTACAGGAAAAGCTTGAAGAGTTTAAAATCTTTCTGTTGTCCTTATTTTTCTTTAACATCAAGATGTAATATTACAAAAGAGGTCATTTGGTCTTTTGACCTTTTTTAAAAAATGTGGATGTTTATTTTCTTTGTTTAAGGTCATAGTTTTTGTTTCAAAATTTGACTCAAATCTTAAAAATGCTAAGCGAGGCAAAAGAAGAAACAATGCAATACAGAAGAAAACTATCCTGGTTTTTTAAAAAGTGTCTATTATTCTTGATAAAGGTCTATAGTTTGTGTAACTGTTTCAGTATGAAGTGGGAAAGCATATAGCTCCATAATAAAATAGCCATCTCAGTTACTAACAGTTTTGAAAGCTGTGCAGCAGCTAACAAATCAGTTCCTTTTGATCCTGTACAGCCCAGTAGCCTTTTAGAAATTTTATATTACGTTTGTGGTACAAACAGATTCTCTTGTCTTTCAGTATTGTGTGTTTCACAGCAGCAGAGTTGCTTAGGATATGAGTATTCTCCTAAGTTGAGAGTTTGTGCCAATGTTTAACTTCACCAAGTTGCTCTTACAGTTAGCACTCCAGTGATGACAACAGGGGAATGAACATAGAAATTTAGGCTCTGATTCTTGCAAATGTTTCTAAAATGTCCAGTGGTGTTTCCACCCAGGTTTTTGGTTATGTTCTTTGGGTTAGGAATATACTGGGGACACATTTGTCCTCACTCCTTTCCATGTTCTTTTTTACTTTGGCTTTATTTAAGAATTCACACATTTCTGAGAGCCCTACTTATTTCAAGTATTACTTGATACCAGGCCATGGAGAAGGTTGGAGAAGAATGAATTTTAGTCTCAAGTTCACTTCATCCACTTGAGATTGCTTAACTATGCAGTTCTATGGCCAGATGGATACCACCATCGCTGTGCATTTGGGTAGACTGATACCACCATTTCATTAATATGTGACTTAAAACAACAACAAAGTAGAGAAACAAACTATATGTTTATAACTTGCATAATTTGGAGATAGTTTCCTTGTAAAAATCAAAGCCTACTTTTCCAACAGAAACAGATCAGCTCATCATAATGGCAGAAGGTTATTTATATTGGCTACTTTAACTCATTAATAACATACATTGAGGTTTTTTTTTTTTTTTAGTTTTAACTGATTCAAGAAGGGAAATTATATATAGAGTTCAAAAATAAGAGAATGGCAGATTTAGCCATCCTTGGGGGAACAAAGGAAACAATGGCTGGTTCTTTTAAAGAATTTAGGATATTTTGCAATTTGGACCATCTTAACAGTGAAGAGTTCTGCAGAGAATAAAATGAAGTAATATTTATTGCTAAGCACTTTATCTAGACTAGAAGGTATGTTGAGGTGAGGCACTATTTTGTTTTAAAACTGACATCTTAGAAGAAGTTCCCTTGCCCCTACAAAGCCAGAC